CAAGTCTGGCAGGCAGTACAGCACCTCACAAACTTTAAGAACAGCCGCGGGACAACAGAGGGCGACGCTACACTGACAGAGGAGCTAAACGTTTTCTTTGCACGCTTCGTGGAGACGCAGGGCAACATCTTGCAGCACCTAGTGGTCAGCAGTAACATGGGTTTTACCCTGACTGTGGCTGAAGATGTGGTAAGGCGCACGCTAAAGTCTTTCAACCCAAAAAAGGCTGCAGGCCCTGATGGTGTCACCAGGCGGGTGTTGAAAGACTGCGCTGATCAACTTGCTGGGATTTTCACGGAGATCTTTAACAGATCACTTTCACAGGTGATCATTCCAGCCAGTCTAAAATCCACAACCATGGTCCCGCTACCAAAGACATCACAGATCACCAGCCTAAACGACTACTGTCCAGTTGCACTAACTCCGGTGGTAACGAAGTGCTTTGAGAAACTGGTTAGAAATCACATGACCCGAAATGAAATGACCCGTACCAGTTTGCATACAGGACTGGCAGGTCTACAGAGGATGCAGTGGTTACTGCCCTTCACACGACCTTAAACCACTTGGAGCAACAAGGTACCTATGCCTGGCTCCTTTTTGTGGATTATAGCTCTGCCTTTAACACCATCATCCCCCACAGACTGATGTGCAAAATACTGGACCTGGGTCTGCCTTATCACACCTCTCTATGAATCAAAGACTTCCTCACGGGACGCAGACACGAGGTTAGAGTAGGACCTCATACCTCTACACCCATTAGCCTCAGCACAGGCTCCCCTCAGGGCTGTGTGCTGAGTCCCCTACTCTACACCCATGACTGTACCATTGCTCACACCAGTAACACCATGGTAAAATTTGCGAATGATACTGCCATTCTGGGACTCTTCTCCAAAGACAGCGAGACAGTCTACCGAGACGAGGTGGAACGGCTGTCAATGTGGTGCAAAGACAACAATCTACATCTGGATACATCAAAGACGAAGGAGCTAGTAATAATTGATTTTAGAAAGGTGAGAATGGACATTCAACCCATCCATCCATCCATCCATTTTCTTTCGCTTATCCGGGGTTGGGTCACAGAGGTAGCAGCCTAAGTAAGGAGGCCCAGACTTCCCTCTCCCCAGCCACTTGGTCCAGCCCTCCGGGGGAATCCCGAGGCGTTCCCAGGCCAGCCGAGAAACATAGTCCCTCCAGCGTGTCCTGGGTCTTCCTCTGGATCTCCTCCCGGTGGGACGTGCCCGGAACACCTCACCAGGGAGGCATCCAGAAGGCATCCTAAACAGATGCCCAAGCCACCTCAACTGGCTCCTCTCAATGTGGAGAAGCAGCGGCTCTACTCCGAGTCTCTCCCGGATGATCGAGCTTCTCACCTTATCTCTAAAGGAGAGCCCAGACACCCTGCGGAGAAAACTCATTTCGGCTGCTTGTATCTGAGATCTCGTTCTTTCGGTCACAACCCAAAACTCATGACCATAGATGAGGGTAGGAATGTAGATCGATCAGTAAATTGAGAGCTTTGCCTTTTGACTCAGCTCTC